AGTCTGAGAAGAAAGGTGAAAAAATAGAACAGCTGGAAACTTCACTACATGCTTACAAGACAAACTCCAAATGAACACACAAAAGTCAAACACAACAATAGCAAAATTACACAATCCCATAAAAGAACAGACAAACAGAATAGAAGAAATGGGAACCTGAATTGGTGAACTTGAAGGCAAATCTATAGACTCCAATATAAAAGAAGAACAAATTGCCAACAAAAAAAGAACAATTACATACACAGGGTCAGTGATTATAACAACTTCAGATTTCTCAGCAGAAACCATGTAGGCAAGAAGACAATGGAGTGGCATATATACAGTCCTGAAGTAAAAAACTGTCAACCTAGAATCAAAAGGCTTCATCATAAGAGAAAAGTGAGAGCCCACAGATTGAGAATAAAGTTTTACCAAAGACACATTGGGCAAGGGTCTGATTGCCAAAATATACAGAACTCTACAATAAGAAAATAACAAACAACCCAATTAAGAAGTGGGAAAAAAACATGAGCAGACAGTTCACCAAAAATGACATACAAATGGCTAACAAACATGAAAAAATGTTCACAATCACTAGCCACTAGGGAAATGCAAATTAAAACCACAATTAGATACCGCTTTACCCAAACAATACTAGCCCAATTAAAACAAACAAAAGAGAAAACAATCAATGCTTGAAAGGATATGAAGAGATCTGAACTTGTATATACTGTTCATGGACTTCTAAATTTATACAACCACTATGGAAAACAATCTGGAAATACTTAAAACAACTGCTACATTCAATGCAGCAGTACCACTATTAGGCATGTACTCCAAAGAAATAAGAGACACAACATGAGTGGATGTATTCTCTCATGTTTATAGCAGCACAATTCACAATAGCAAGAATCTGGAAGCAGCCCGAATGCCCAACGTGGAAGAATGGATGAACTATGGTACGCAATGGAATGCTATGCATCTCTAAAAAACTGATGAAGGCATGAAACACCTCATGACATGGAAGGTCCTGGAAACCATTATGTTGAGTGAAGTAAGTCAATCACAAAAGAACAAATATTGTATGAGCTCACTACTATAGGAGAAACACCGATTAAACAAATATTAGGGAACAATTCCCAAACAAAGGGGTAGAATGTTTTCCTACACCCACAAAACATACATAACTCCCCTTATGTGCATCCCAGAAGAACCACCTTGAAAGAGGAGTGTATAAAAATTTAAAATAAATAAATAAATGAAAGAGGAGTGTATGATATGCGAATATTATATCAAGAAAACTACTTTAAAAAAGAGAAAGAAACCAAACAACCTATGACGATGGAATAATTTGGAAAGGATATCAATAATGGTTGTACAACATGAAGAGTATAATCAATGGAACTGAATTATACATGTACAAGTTGTTAAATTGGGGAAATAAAAGAATAAAATGGATAGCCTATGCTTTGGATTTTTTTCTGTTGTTTTTCTTTTTCCCCATAGCTGATTATCAGACAGTTTTTGGTAGCATAGAAAGTTATTTGTTTTACCTTTCTATAGTGTCAGGAAGTTGTTCAAGTCTGTTGCTTCCCATATCAAGCCACTCAAGGGCAGGCATATTCAACACCGCAGGAGGAATCGTAGTGAATTGGTTCATACTCAAATCAAGGTGAGTAAGATTTAACAGCTTGCTGAGCTGAATAGGAAAGCAAGAGTCTCTTTATAAATGTCCACAATGTAACTTAATAAAAGACAGATTGGTACAGTAGGTATTTCATATCCAGGAGCATTCACATCTACTTGGGCTTTATTTAGTCATAATGATCCAGAACAAATTTGAAATAAACCTACTAAGTAACCTTCAGAAAGTGAAAAACTCTGTTATAGAAAGCTCATCTCTTCAGTGTAAATGTGTCTTTCAAATATTGATGGTAGTAGCTCCTCAGTACTTTAGTGCCCCACTTCCTATGTTATTTTCAGTCAGCATAAGAGATTTGTTTGGGAAAAATCAAACTCCAAAATAATAGCTATCTCTATTGATTCCTCAATTTTTTACCCATTCCTTT